GGCAGGAAACAAGAAAATGTATATTTATGATATCTGCAATTTACTGAATATTGTACAGTAATATGAAGACTATAGCTGTTTAAGGGTAGTTAAATTAATTAATTTCTTAGATTTCATCTCTAAATATTAAATGAGTACTGTAATTACAGCCATCCTGTGAGTAGAGCTCATGTAAACATTCGCTCTTACACACACTGCCAGTCAGTCCAATAATTACTGTACCCAGAAAGCCCAATATAAACTTTTTACTCCAAAGATTTATATGGAGAAAATGCAATAGTATTATTGTCACCTTTTATCCTTTATTTGTTCATGCTAATTAACTTATGGTAGTGTAGTTTAAATCTTGAAAACTTAAGTTTCTCCTTTACGTCATACATTTTTGTGGTTCCTGCACCACAGTTTACTTGCTGACTGATCCTTATCCAGTTTATGGAGGACTTCCCATTCTTCTTTAATATTACTACAGTAGAGTACAGTACAGTACAGTACAGTACCATCGCTTTTACATTTGTTGCGAGACAATTTAAAAGCAGTAAGTACACCTGGTTTGAGTTTACAATACATACTTTCTGAAGGAAGGAATAATAATGTGGACAGGTGACACCGATCAGTGGCAACCCAGGTTAGGTCAGCAGATGAGATTTGGAGGGAACTTGAAACTTTTAAAATATTTTAGAAAATTTATCAATTACAAAAAGAGATTTTGAGATTCATGATACTCAAGTGTATCAATTTACTTGGCTTTAGCTGGGCAGTAAATTTCTTTTCCTCAATATGCAATATTTGAAAAACCAAACTATTGGTAGGCAATGATCACTAGGAATGTAAACTAGCCCGTCCTACTTCATTATCTGTGATTATGAAATTTTGATACTATTTCTATTTATGTATTTGCCTTGCATTAATTGTTTTTAGCCTTCTAAACTTTTAGTTTAATTAAGTGGCTGTTACATCGCCAGGAATGTAATTACCACAATCAATCAATCATTATTTGTGATCATCAAATCACAAGCATTTCATGCAAACAGAAAAACTTAAACTTGCACACTGACCAGTCACATAACAAACCAGTACTAGTGCAATATATAAGATATGAATATCACTTGTCTTCAGTACCCAAATACCAAACATAATACAAGCAAAGTGTCAAAAGCCAAACTTTTGTTATATACTTTATGTAAATACATAGATAGAATGAAGAGTACAGAAAACACTTACCCTCCACTGTCTATGTACGGCTACCACCAGGGAACTGAGAAGCTAGAGGTGAGGTTTATGGGCTTGGAAACCAAGTGAAGCTTCTGAGTTGACTCCTGACTTGTGGCCTCACAGATCTTGAGACAAATATCATTCAGGATTTGAATATAAATTGACTGGATGAGGAGAGTGTTGTAGCATACACTTTGTCCATGTGGATAATGTGTCCTAATGCTAAGAGCTGCAGTAATAGTTGGTTCTGTCTGGATGCCTTTAGTAGTGGTACACCCCACAGGTCACTTATCAGGACTCACAGGCCTTAAAGAATTATTAAAGATTTCTTATCATTTCTTTTTGATAGTTCTCTGTGATTAGTAAAAACTCCTAATTTATCAATCAATGTGTTAATTTGTAACTGTATTATATATATATATACAGTATATATATATATATATATATATATATATATATATATATATATATATATATATATATATATATATATATATATATATATATATATATATATATATATATATATATATATATATATATATATATATATATATATATATATATATATATATATATATATATATATATATATATATATATATATATATATATATATATATATATATATATATATATATATATATATATATATATATATATATATATATATATATATATATATATATATATATATATATATATATATATATATACACATATATATATAACAATAGTGACCCCTTGTTTAACTTAACACCGGTTAACGTAATTTCGAATAACGAACTGCCTTCCATAAGGATCTTCAATTCGTTAACAAAAAAAATTCGGTTAACGAAGTTCTTACAAACCGACCTCAACATGTTTTCGCTTGCACTGACCGGGCAACCAGCTTTAGTATCAGTCCGCCAATACATTAATCGGTTCTAGGGCTTAAATTCCTTACTATTTTAGTAAATATCAAGAAGTTTATACTATTCAATAATTTTAAAAGTTTAATATTCAATTTTTTAGTCATTTTAACAATTATTGAACAAAATTGAAGGTAAAGTGACTAGTTTAATGCGCGGCATCCAGCCTCTTAACACAGCAAACAGGCGTTAGTCTCTCTCTGTTTTCACTGGAGGTAACATCTTGCTTGAGACTCTCTTCAGCTAAATGCTTTTTTTCTGTGTTTCCAAGCAAATTATTGGTCATTTTGAAATTTATTTTACATATTGACAATATATAGTGCAGTGCAGTGTTATTTTAAAGATAATATTCTTTATTTACAGCTAGTTTAACTTTGAAAAATACGTGTTGACATTGTTTGAATCCAGCATGGGGCCTAAGAGATCAAGAAAAGCAATTTCAATCCAAATAAAGCAGGAAATAATAAAAAAACATGAACAAGGCATTAAATCAAATGCGCTATGCAAAGAATATGGCATGTCGGCAATTCTTGCACAAAAAGACAAATTTAAAGAAGTGAACGTGAGAGACAAATCTACAAGAGTTTTTAAAAGTAGATCCCTAATCGTAGAAACTGAGAGGCTACTTATCATCTGGATTGGGGAAAAACAGATGAAAGGTGATTCAGTTTCTGGTGATTTCATTTGTGAAAGAGCCAGGGAGATTTATGAACATTTAAAGGCAGATCAGCCTGGTTCTTCAGGAACAGAATTTGAAGATTTTCGGGCTAGCAAAGGCTGGTTCGAAAAATTTAAGAAAAGAAGTGACATTTTAAGTGTTGTTAGGCATGGTGAAGCTGCTAGTGCTGATAAAGAAGGGGCAGCAAAGTTTTTAGTTGAATTTAAAAAACTGATGGAAGAAGAAAATTATCTTCCACAGCAAGTGTTCAATGTGGACAAAACTGGGCTGTTCTGGAAAAAGATGCCCAAAAGAACATTCATCACCAAAGATGAAGCCTCTTTACCTGGGCATAAACCCATGAAAGACCGTCTCACTCTATTGCTTGGTGCCAATGCTTCAGGGGATTTCCGACTGAAGCCTATGCTTGTCTACCACTCTGAAAACCCCAGGGTGTTCAAGCAACAGAAAGTGGTAAGAACAAAGCTTGGAGTTTATTGGAAGTCCAACCGTAAGGCATGGGTGACAAGACAGCTCTTTAATGAATGGGCTGTTGATGTGTTTTGCCCCTCTGTCAAGAGCTACCTAACCACCAATAAACTTCCTTTAAAGGCTCTTCTCCTCATGGATAATGCTCCTGGACATGACCCTGACCTTGCCAGCAATTTGGAGTATTAATTTGACTTGGTGAAAGTGTTGTTTTTGCCTCCAAACACTACATCAATCATACAGCCAATGGACCAGAATGTAATCAGCAACTTCAAGAAGTTGTACATGAAGAAAATGTTTAGGAGGTGTCATCAGGCAACTTCCACTGATCCTGAACTAACACTGAAACAGTTCTGGAAGACACAATTCAACGTCCTGGAGGCTGTAAAATTGATTGTGTCATCATGGCAAGAAGTCTCCAATAGAACCCTCAATTCTTCATGGAAAGCACTGTGGCCATCAGTAGTCCATGATTTTGAGGGATTTGAGGAAGAAACAGAGTTGGACCAAGAGATTGTGTCCATTGGTCAGTCATTGGGCCTTGAAGTGGAGGAGAAGGATGTGGAAGAGCTTGTGATGTCTCATGAGGAGGAACTTACTCCTGATGACTTGAAGCAACTGGATGAGATGTTATGGGTAGAGGCTGACAGTGGTGAGGAGGAAATTGAAAGTGATGACCATATGTCAGCTAAACAGTTGAAAGATGTGATTTACTACTGGGAGAAGTTCAGGGAACTGGCTTCAAAGCACCCAGAAGTGGAAAAAACTGAACTAACTTTGTGTCATGTTGAGGACTCAGTGGTCTCCTTCTTTAAACATAAGTTAATGGTGAGGAGGACAGATGCCCCACAGACCACAATTGACACTTTCTTCAGTAAAAGGCAGAGGGAACAAGATGCTATCCCTCAGCCTTCCACTTCAAGAAGGAGAGAGGATGTTCATGGTGGAGAATCTGTCAGTCCAGAGGTTCCTGACATTTTCATGGAAGGTGACTAACCTTCCAAGAAGCAGTAAAATGCTTCTCCTCCACCTCCACTTCCTTCTCTTCTCCCTTCTCCTCCTCCACCTCCCACTTCAAATGCACATCATCATCATCATCCAGGAGCCTTCTACATACACACCTCAAAGTAAGTGAACTTTTCTACCATTTTTGTTGAATTTTAGGAAATTTTCGGTGAGCTGGAACCAATTACCCAAAAACCCATTGAAACAATGGTTTCGGTTAACGAACTTTTCGGTTAACGAACAACCTGCTGGAACGGATTGAGTTCGTTAACCGAGGGACCACTGTAACACCATCCATCATCACTACGGATCGGTAGAGTAGTTTCCGAGATTCTCGTGCGGACATACACACAAACAAACAAACACACAGACATACTTCTTATGTTTATATATATATATATATATATATATATATATATATATATATATATATATATATATATATGAGCAAGTTACACTGTAAATGTGCTAAAATGTTATTATTTTGAATGAATTTTGGAAATACAGTATACAGTATTGAAATTAAACCACCTCTCCTCCCACTGAATGCTGAAGAATCCCCTATGCACAGGAACCAAGTAGCCTACAGTACAATGGAGCAAGAGTGTACTCTACAGTTCAGTGATGGATTATATCTGAAACAGCATAAAAATAATTGGTCTACAAGTATTTACTCTCTCAGACAGAGCACTCGAGGATTATGCAAGGTGGAAAAAAAAACATTGCACAGTACTAAAATTTTCTAATGACTGCTGAATAAGGTTAAAATACATCATCTAATATTCACTGACCATTAAATCTTGAAGGGAGTTTGAATCTAATTTCAGTGACAAATGTGGGTTTTCTCAGTCAGAGCCTCAAAAAAAAAAAAGCAGCCCCACGCATCACATCTGAGTGACTATTCATTTATATATCACTGAAAAATTATAAGCAAACTCCACTACAAGTGAATATCTACCCATCTACTGTATAGGATGTGGAGTGGCTGGTTTTCTCCTCTCATCCTCACACTATAAGGATGGGACAAGTAAACAGGTTCTTTAATACAGTATCAACCAGTATTAATGTACATAAATTAAGTGTTTTTCTACCTTGTGCACCCTAAAGTAAAGCTACGGTACATGATCCAATGACAAGTGTAGGAGCTTGGCAAAACACAATAAAGGAAATAAGTGTTGACTAAGAGATAAAAGTATTACATCAGAGATTAGTCTTCATGGTACATGTAATTTGCACTCGCTCCTACACTAAGGCATATATTTAAATTTACTGCCTGGTGACTGGCAATTATATTTGAAGCACTAAGTTAAAAGACAAAAGCATTTAAAAAATATATTGAAATTCTTTTACTACTTTCTGCTATTATACTTAATATGTAGTTTCTTAAATTACTTTCTTTTCTATAGCTATCTTAAATCTATTCTCTTACCATTGTCATGCTCCAACATCTCAATGTTATGCATTATTTCAATGTTTCATTATTAAAAGATGATAACCTTTACATGATGATTTTTCATGATGATGGAAACTGCATACTTATCCACTTTCAACTTCCTCTTCAAAGGAGATGTTAAACACATGAGGCATCAGTCACATGTTATATGGAACCATTTCATCAGAGAATGAAATACTGGTAATCTCTTTAAGAAAAAATAAAGAACACTATAAGGTCAAACATCAGTACAGCATAGAGTACAGGTAATACCATTATTTTGACAATTTGTACTAGGGCAACTAATCTTGCATCCAGGAGAAAATGTCCCTCAATTTCTTTAAAACATATCTTCATCTTCTTTAATATGGAGCTGATCCACATGTTCTCTCTTCGTGCAGTCACTGCCAGGTGTCCATGCAGCTGTGTTTGGGTAGTGAACAGCATTACTGGACCTCTGTGAGTTATCTCCATACTTGGTTAAATCTCCACAGCCAGCATCTAGACGGTTTGAATGTAACAAATCACTCAAATTTCTACCATTCTTTGACACCATGTCCCTCATATTGCACCCAGAAAATGGTCCTCCCCCACTGTGGTCAACCGGTTTAGAAACATCTCTATATCTTCTCTCATCATGAGACATATGAGCATGTGCCATACACTTTCTCTCATCATAAGACATACCAGTGTTTTGAAGACAATTTTTCCCAGGAATACTGCAGTTGTAGGAATTATTAACCTCCTCCTCCTCCTCATCATCATCATCATCATCATCATCCTCATCATCATCCTCCTCCTCTTCATCATCATCATCGTCATCATCGTCATCATCATCATGTAACAAACATTCGTCATCAGACTCTGACTTTAGAATTAGCTCCTGGTCCTCTTTCTCACACTCAGTGCATTTGAAGGGTCCTATTCTCTGCTTTTTAATTGGAAGATAAATTTTCTTCAGAAACAGGTTATGACATTCTACACATTTGAAGGATTTCTCATAATGTCGTTTCTTGTGTTGATTGAGAATACTTCTCTGAGAGAATGATTTGCCACATTCACTGCAAGAAAATGGCTTTTCACCCGTATGAACTCGGGAGTGTTGCACTAGATAGACTTTCTTTTTGAAAGCTTTATTACATACTGAACATATAAAGGGTTTTTCACCTCCATGTACTTTATCATGCTCTTTTAGAGCTCCCTTCAGAGCAAAGGACTTTCCACATAAAGAGCAAGAAAAAGGCTTTACACCACTATGTCTCTGTAGATGCTGAACCAAGTTACCCTTCAGTGAAAAGGCTTTGTCACACAAGTCACATTTATGTGGTCTTTCTCCAGTGTGTATCCTCACATGCTGAACAAGGTAGCTCTTCTTCAGGAAAAGTTTGTTGCAGTCAGGACACTCATATGTTTTCCTGTCAGTGTGCAGCTTCTCATGCTGAACAAGATTACCTTTCAGAGAGAATGCTCTATCGCAATGGGTGCATTTAAAAGGTTTTTCACCGCTATGAATCCGCATATGCTGATGAAGATATACTTTTTTGTTGAAAGTTTTACTACATTCAGGGCAGCAATAAGTTTTCTGATCTGTGTGAAGCTGCATATGCTTAGTAAGATTACCCTTCAAGGAGAATTCTCTTCCACATACAAGACAAGCATGAGGTTTCTCCCCCGTGTGGACTCTTACATGCCGTGTGAAATCAGCTTTGTTTGAGAATATTTTACTGCATTTGCACACAAAATTTTTACCATGAATAGATGGTAACATCAATTCCTCCGGCTGTATGCGTTGGGAGAACATGGAGTTATCTTGAGAATTCTGATAAGAACAGTCACTACCATACATCATGCTGCTAAGAGTATCTCTGTTCATATGCATCAAATACTTTTTACTTAGGTTTTTAAGTCTACCATAAGACAAGGTCATAAACAACTGATCAAAGTCCATCTATGCTTTCATGTGAGAGCAATACTACAGGACTTGAAGCTTTTCCTTCCCCCTTTAGTTATTCTTCTGTTTTGTCTTCATTATTGTGAATATGTTTCACACATTTCCAATGAATCAATCATTTCCTGTAAGATAAAAAGATTAATTAACCTTTCACACAATAAAAAACAGTCAACTACATAACTAGACTGACTACCTGGCTTACTCTTAAATGAGGCAAAGTGGATACATCATGTCATTACATAAATTAAAAGTGGAACCCATAAGCCCAAAGGCCTGTTAGGGATAATGTAGATACAGCATACTAAGCTTTTGGTCCCCATGGAGGCAGTGTGGCTGCCACTGCACTTGACTGCCTTAATTAAACCAACTGTGAATTCATGAGCCTATTCACAGAGGACTGGACTGTTAAATCACTGAAGTAATTAAGACAAATGGCTTCCATGATTACTGTAAACAACCACAGTTTAGGCTGAAATTAATGTATCTGATAAAAACAACTATAAACGGGGGATTGAATCCTTAAGTTACATTTTGTGGGCTTAGAGATGAGTGAATGACCTGTGAAACTACAGTAGCTACTACAGTAGTAAGATTCAACATTTGCTTAATGGGGTGCATTATCTCATGGTACTATTAACATGACACAAACAACTATTTGTTGCTGAAAGAACCTACCTTGCTATCTAGAAGCTGATGCCTTGAACCTGGTGGTTGCTTGAAAACCAATGAAGTTATATGGCAGGATTCAAGAATCATGAAGGTCATTGTGATCCCCACCTGACCACAAGGGGTTCCACAGAACCCTTCTTCTGTCCCTGCCAATTGAAGAATTCCTTTAGGATGGAGTGCGGGCAACCAGGTAATTAGCACGTCTCAACAACTACAAAATGGGATTTTGTTAATTTGATCCACCATTTATGGCTGGAGGAGACTCCCAATATATTTTTTGAGACAGGAATCAGTTTGGGAAATATGAGAAGGTCAAATGTAAAGTGAAAACCACACAAGAGAATCACTGATTTTGTAAAATTAATGTTCATGACGGAAAAAGTAATTTAGAGGTAGTACGGTAAACCCTCGGGATCAGGTTATAGCGGACGCCCTGACCCTACCAGACAAACCCTCAATAGATGTCCATTATCCCCAAGGAGTTGTCCAATACAGTAGTTAGTCCAGTGGTTCTCAACCTGAGCCACGGCAAGAATTTAGGGGAGCCACGGCGAGCTGTTATAAATTGTACGTTTCCAAATAATGTTGGGAATCTGAATTAAACAAAACTTGTATTACTTATTTTGACTTGGCAGGAGAATTATTATTCTTTTTTTGTCATTTTGTTTAATCGTAACGACAATACAATTTTAATATTTACATACTCTGGTGCTATTTTTTTTTTTTTTTACGGATTATTTAAGATTTCACAAGTCCAGTCCCTGTCTGTGTGACAGGCGCTGGACCGAGCTGCTGAACTCACTTGTTCAGTACGTGTCCGTGTGTCATCCCTTTGCAAGTGGTGATAGTACCGAATGATCTCAGTCTGGCCTGGGATACCATCACGAAAACAGTGGAGTGTATTATCTCTGAACCATATATTGTGTTTGAGCTTGACTCAAGCATTTTATTTTTCAACATTATTTGTGGGGTCTGGGAGAAAAATGAAGGAGGCCACAAGGATGTTGAAAATTCCTCAAGGGGGGAATGGAGTGAAAAGGGTTGAGAACCATTGAGTTAGTCACTGCAAAAACAGTAATACTGTACTGTATGTAATAAAGGAAAACAAACAAGTTTAAAATTACTAAGAAACATGAGGATTAAACAACCATGATGTTATGCATTTTTCTATTCATCACCACACTCCTTTATACTGTCAGCTATGCAATATGTTATGCTTATTTTTCAACTCATAATTTTGGGTAGATATACAGTACGTTTAATGCTAGGGTTAGTCTGCGAAAACCTCGTATAACTCGAAAACGCATAAAGTGAATTCTTAATCTTATGGGTAAAATGGGTAGGCTTTCCACAACCATTTCTGAAGCTTCCCCAACCTTGATTCTGGTTCTTTTTCATAACAGACACACACTAAAAGACAACAGTAATACTATAAACGTTGTGAAGATATCATTACAATACCCTAATGCGTTTTAGAAATAAATAACAAAAATATATAAGATACACAGAACTATAAAATAATAAAAATGTCAACATACCATTTCACAGGTGATCTATTCACCAGTTTTCCCCCTACTCATATTTTGCACACAACACATTAATTCAACTGTGGTAGAAGCATGGTCCTCGTATAATTTTTTTTTTTTTTTTTATTTATTTATTGGGCACTCCCCTACATCCTTGTGTAAGGTGAAGCGCAGAAGCGTTTACAGCGCCCAGCAGGGAAGAATGCTAAGTTCATGCTTGCCTTTATGTCTCATGAGTTAAGGGTGTAGAAGCCTGAAGAGTCAAGGGCGTAGAAGCCTGAAGAGTCAGTGGTTTATGTCATCAAGTTACTGGAAGCTCCAACAACTTTCCCTGAATATGAATTCGCAACTTTCGACTTACAACAGGTACCTACTTTACTACTAGGTGAAGAGGGACTAATGGGGGCTAGGAAGTATGCCCAAACAACTTCCACCGGCCCGGGAATCGAACCTGTGACATCTCGCTTGCGAGGCAAGAATGGTACCGCTTCTACCACCAATCCCCCCCTCGTATAATTGTGAATTCAAATATATAGTAAGTGCGCATAGAGAGGTCAAGTGTATACATAATTTTCTTAAATTCATTTTTTTTTACTCGGTTACATACACTCACAATCCTACGTACAGAATGTACATAAAAACTATAATAATAATTATCATACTGTGTTAAGTTTTAGCTGTAAACGGGTTTCCACCGTGAAGCCGTGTGGTGTATTTGTGTAGGTGGGAGGGTCCGTAGTGTGGAGCACCGCTGTTAGGGAACATTGCTAAGGCGAGTATCGAAGCAGCTATAGTCTCCAAGAGCTGCGATGCAGTGTGTATACTGACTTATATTATTTTTGCCCTTTTTATGCTTTCATAATTGTTATTTAAATGCTTTCATTTTTGCTGTTTATATGCTTACAATTTTAAGTTTTAATATTACAGTGTATAGATAAAGCTTCTTTTAGGGTGAATCTAGTGCTCTGAACAAAGGCTAATGTTTATATTTATGGACAATCAGAAGGAATTTTAAGAACATACCGTACCTGAAGCATTAATGGAGGATCAATGTAAAATATTTTGTTACCAGTAATGTATTTCTAATTTATACAATAGTAATTAATAAAATCTCCTACTTCAAACTATCTGGTACAGTACCACATATCCAGCCCTCTTTTTCCCCTGTTAGTTTAAAATAATTACTGGGAAATCGGTTTTAATGGATTTTCGGCTTTAGTGACAATGGTCTTCACCCATTTAGTCCGTTACCCTGAAGGTTTATTGTACAGTACACACACAACCTTAAATTTACCCAAGAGCCACACTAATGGAACTCTTTATTAGATCTTGTCATCAAGTTAATGACCATCCAGTAGCTCCAAAAATAGACTTAAAACATATCACTCTTATGAACACTGTAGTACAGTTATTCCTCAATATACAAACTTCCGGTATAAAAAATTTCATGCTACGGTGATATCCCCGTTAGCCGGAACAATTGGTGCAGAGCTCTTCCGGGAAGGAGAGATTTCTGGGTAACGAGACGACTCTCTCAGAGCCGGAAAAAATACCCCATCCCCGAAATTTTCTGGATAACAGGAAAATTTTATCAAAAGTTCCAGAAATTGCTCATTACATCATCTCTCAAACCTGGATAAAATCCCCAATACCTGGAATTTTTCAAGGTATTATTTACTCCTCACATTTACTGATACAGTATACAGTATATTATTTTTTCTTTTATTTATTGGCATTATTTTTATTTATTTCTGTACCTTGGTAATACAGTCCTCAAACGCGAACAAAATACTAAATTCCTCGGAGTTATTATTGAGAAACTTAACTGGAGAAACCACGTACAAGCCATTCACAGCAAAGGCGATAAACAGTGCGGTATCATGTATCACACTCGACAGTCACTCACTCTCACAGCAATGAAAGAAATCTATCATGATCTTGTTTACCAACACCTGATACACTGTCACACACTATGGGGGGCCTCTGGCTCTTCAAAAATACAATCCCCGGTTACTGCACAAAAGATTTGTACGGACAATGACCTACTTGATAAAAACAGATCACACAAACGAGAAATTTGCCAAATTGAAAATGTTAAAATTCGAAGATATTAACACCTACTGCTGTGCCCTCTTTGTCTACAAATCTACCAATCACTTGCTTGACAATAATTATTTCCAGTTCCGGAATAATCAGAGATACAACTTAAGGCACCCAGAGCTACTAAGACCACCCCCCCATGTGCTCCTCTCAGTCCCAGACCTCTATAAACATCATGGAGTGAAGGTGTAGAACAACTTACCCCCACCCATCCCAGCAAAGACTACGCTCCCTTCCTTTAAATCATCTCTTAAAAAATATCTATTGTCTAAGTATTAATATTTCTTGTAATACCTACTATATATACAATACCTGATTTTATTGTACCATCAAAACCGTTTTATCGGAAATTATCATGTAAATAAATAAGAAATTACCATTGCAATAAATATATTTGCCAACTAGACAAAATCCTGACAGCCCTGTCCTCCTGTTCAACCTTAATACTGTACAACCCATGTTGTACTGCTCCCCCATTATATTTATGTTTTTCAATTCCACTGTAAATTATGTACAGTGGTCCCTCGGTTAACGAGCACCTCGGTTAATGAGATTTCGGTTAACGAGTTACCTTTCATAAGATTCTTAACTTCGGCTAACGAGCAATCCCTCGATTAACGAGTTTCTTACAAGCCGACCTCCACATGTTTTAGCTTGCATTTGGAGATCCACCATCTGTAGTATTAGTCCGCCAATACAGTAATCGGTTCTAAGGCTTAAATTCCTTACCCTTTTAGTAAATATCAAGAAGTTTATACTATTCAATAATTTTAAAAGTTTAATATTAAATTTTTTAGTCATTTTAACAATTATTGAACATAATTGAAGGTAGGGTCACTAGTTTGTGGCACGCCATCCAGCCTGCCAACACAGCATACAGGCGTCAGTCTTTTTGTCTTTTCAGTGGAGGTAACATCTTGCTTGAGACTCTCTTCAACTAAACACTTTTTTTCTGTGTTTACAAGCAAATTATTGGTCATTTTGAAATTTATTTTACATATTGACAATATATAATGCAGTGCAGTGTTGATTTAAAGAAAACAATCTTGAATTACACCAAGAGAACTAAAATTTTATGGGTGAAATGGCACCATGAGGTGACTTCTCTTCCACCCCAATGCCTTCTCTTCTCCCTTCTCCTCCACCCTCATTCTAATCCCCATCATCATCCAGGAGCCTTCTACATACACACCTCAAAGTAAGTGTACCTTTCTACCTTTTTTGTTGAATTTAGGCAATTTTCGGTGAGCTGGAACCAATTACCCAAAAACCCATCTAAACAATGGTTTCAGTTAACGAGTTTTTCGGTTAACGAGCAACCTTCTAGAACGGATTGTGCTCGTTAACCGAGGGACCACTGTATATACTTATAATATAAATTAAAAAATAAATAAATATTAATAACAATAAATAAATAAAATAAATATACTGTATAATGAAGTGATAACTGTGGTAACATTCTGAGATGTTCTTATTACCACCATGTTATTGTACTATTCCAGATGTTACTAAATGTTACATTGTACTGCGCACATCATTGTCATTCCTAAAAAAAACCTTTAATTCATATTACGCTACGTAACATTCAAATCCACCGCGCTTGTAGATTCTCAGAAAACGGGAAACATTGATAAAGAATAACTCGCTTAATGAATGTTACGGAATTATTTGATGAATTATATCCAACTACGGGTATATAATATTAATTGTATGTATTCATAGCATTAAGGAGAACTCAAGGTATCTATAGGATGGTTGAGAGAGTCCATTTGATCTGGGCTAGATCCGGGCTAGTGTATTATCCGGGCTAAGTGTAGATCGTAGTTTGAAGGTCATACTATTTACGTCTGTGAACGTTTAGCAAAAATAACTTCCGCAGATATCATATGAAAATACATGAGAACAATGATCTGGAAAAAGGATAAATGTATCAGACCTATGTGAGGTGTTGGAAGTGATCCAGAAACTATACTTGAAAGGAAATATCCTGTATGCATCGGTGTGAACTTAATACACCTCGTATTCTCGTGTGACGTATACCCACGACATGTACAGTGATCAGAGAATCTTATGTCTGTGTTCAAATAGTGCAATGTGTGAGAGGAGGATCCCTAATTACAGTTTTAAGTGAAGTGGATATACCCACGCTAGGAACATTCGGCTTTTGTTTCAGAGTAGCGTCCTTTGTAACCAGACTACAGGTTTGAGTTGATGATATAGCCCAATTAATTTCCCCAGGAACTGTCAAACCTGAGCCGAATTCTAGTATGTAAGTTAGGATTAAAATATGTATTTATAAGACACAACGTTACAATAAACAGGAAAGTGTTCATGTGAGAACCATAAGAAATCAAAGTGAAAATTAAAGATTGGAAACTGCAGGCCTAGTCGGTGGGAGGAGCGTGGGGCATCGGTCTTCAGTCGTGCCTGCTCCTTCACCAACACAGGTCAGTGAACTTCATCGGGCTGTATTCAGCCCTAAAACAAGACTTATATAGCAGTTATTACAGCTTAAAACTTTGCCTGATGTATAAAGTGAAATAGTAATGTGTTAGGGTGTGTGATAACGGCCCATCAGGCATTATTTCTTAGACAAGCCTGCTCCTTCACCAACACAGGTCCCCCGTGCGCTCAGAACTCACTAGAACGGCGGCCATTACCCACGTGAGCGTCCCACCATGTGAGATGACTACTCCCAGCAATGCTACTCCACTGTGAACCTGTGGATTCCCGGCATACCACCACCCTTGAGTAGGAATACATAATGGAATGCTTGAGAAACTCACCGGTCGTCACTTGGAGCGACCTATAATACCAGGCGTAGAAACAGTACTGGGCTGTGTGCGAACGAGGTGCCTGAAAGGGTGTGCCTAGAAATCACAAGGAGTCCCATACTTGCAGGTGTGAAGTATAACCGGGGTGTGGTGAGATGATGTTACAAGGTTGTGAGATGGTGCTATAATGTATAATAACCTAAGGTGCTACATTCCAAACAGGTGGAGCGGTCTGATGTGTTGGGTATTATGGTAAGAAGGGATGACCGAAGTAAGGAGGTCACTGATTGTTATGAGCAAAAAGTATGTGGATGACACGCAATTAATGTAAGACGTCTGTTGGTGAGCAGTGTAACTAAAGTCATAGTTGTTCTTCTGAGGAAGGCCAACGCTTCTTGTATTTTGAAGGAATGCAATGTTTTAGAAGGAATAAATTAGTTAAGACATGTTATTGTTTCACTCTTCTTTCCCTTATCGATTTGGTCAATGAAAAACCTAACCCAATGCCTAGTTCACTCTGCAAGCTACCTAACGAGCTACATACTGCCCACAGGGGGTCTGGTGGCAGCAACCTTTAAAATTAAGACTATAGTTAAGTTAGACCCCTTAGAATTAGTGACCCCAGAATCTGGCAGTATAACATAATAATTCCTTGAGATAAATGTATAGTATATATCAGGTGCCAACAAGAGAGCTCAGGTTCTCAACCGGCTCAGCTATGTTAATATCGTTATTATTATCCACCCTCTATGTGTTTTACTGGCTAAATAAACTGTTTCAATTCAACACCTGAGGTGTGTCCAGGGTACTTAAGCCAGGGTCCAAATGCTTAAATATTTATCTCATTTAGAGGTGTCAAAACGACTCATATATTTTTATTTTTTTTAAATACCAGGACCATATTGAAAACACTAAACAAAATGGTTTACCTTAATTTAGGTTTCTTTAAACTTAATTACATCACAAAAGATGTACAATATTTGTACAATATATCTGACCTGGTCTACAAACAATGCTGTTTCCACTGAACATGACCTAACTGCAAACCATCACCTACGGTAACTACTGTGCCAGTGTACAGTATAGTACATCATAGTACAGTACATCACAGAACAGTACAGTAGAGTACATCACAGTACAGTACATCACAGTACAGTACATCATAGTACAGTACATCACAGTACAGTACAGTACATCATAGTACAGTACATCACAGTACAGTACATCATAGCATAGTACATCACAGTACAGTACAGTACATCATAGTACAGTACAGTACATCATAGTACAGTACATCACAGTAGAGTACAGTATAGTACATCAAAGTACAGTACATCATAGTATAGTACATCACAGTACAGTACATCATAGTACAGTACATCACAGTACAGTACATCATAGTACAGTACATCATAGTACAGTACATCACAGTACAGTACAGTACATCACAGTACAGTACAGCACAGTACAGTACAGCACAGTACAGTACAGCACAGAACAGAACATCACAGTACATCACAGTACAGTACATCACAGTACAGTACATCACAGTACAGTATATCACAGTAGAGTACATCACAGTACAGTACAGCACAGTACAGTAAAGGACAGTACAGCACAGTACAGTACATCACAGTACAGTACATCACAGTACAGTACATCACAGTACAGTACATCACAGTATAGTATATCACAGTAGAGTACAGTACAGCACAGCACAGCACAGTATACTACTACAGTACAGTACAGCACAGCACAGTATAGTACATCACAGTATACAGCACATCACAGTACAGTACATCACAGTACAGTACATCACAGTACAGTACAGTACAGCACATCACAGTACTGTACAGTACATCACAGTACAGTACAGTACATCACAGTACAGTACATCACAGTACAGTACAGCACAGCACAGTACAGTACATCACAGTACAGTACAGTACAGCACAGTACAGTACATCACAGTACATCACAGTACAGTACAGTACATCACAGTACAGTACATCACAGTACAGTACATCACAGTACAGCATAGTATGTATAGCATCATGCATAGTACAGTGCACACAGTACACTACATCACAGTACAGTATATCACAGGCATACCTCAGTATTAGTACAATAGTACAGTAGAGTACAGTACAGTACATCATAGCATAGTACAGTACAGTACAGTATACATCATAGTACAGCACAGCACAGTACAGTACAGTACACACAGTAATAGCATACAGTATAGCACATCACAGTATAGTATATAGGTATATCACAGCATAGCATATAGTACATAGTGCAGTATAGCATAGTACATATCATAGCATAGTATAGTATGGTGCACAGTACAGTACATCACAGTACAGTACATCACAGTACAGTACAGTACATCACAGTACAGTACAGTACATCACAGTACAGTACAGTACAGCCCGGTACAGTACATCACAGTGCAGTACAGCACAGTACACTACAGCACATCATAGTACAGTACATTACAGTACATCACAGTACGGTACATCACAGTACAGTACATCACAGAATAGTACAGTACAGTACAGCACAGTACATCACAGAACAGTACATCACAGTACAGTACAGCACAGTACAGTATATCACAGTACAGCACAGCACAGTACAGTACAGTACAGCACAGTACAGTACAGTACATCACAGTACAGTACATCACAGTGCAGTACAGTATATCACAGTACATCACAGTACAGTACAGTACAGCACAGTACAGTTCAGTACAGCACAGTACAATACATCACAGCACAGTACAGTACAGCACAGTACATCACAGTACAGTACAGCACAGTACATCACAGTACAGTACAGTACATCACAGTACAGTACAGTATATCACAGTACAGCACACCACAGCACAGTACAGTACAGTATACAGCACAGTACAGTGCACATCACAGTGCAGTAGCACAGTACAGTGCAGCGCAGGCGTCAGCAGCAGCACAGCACAGTACATCACAGTACAGTACAGTACAGCACAGTACAATACATCACAGCACAGTACAGTACAGCACAGTACATCACAGTACAGTACATCACAGTACATCACAGTACAGTACAGTACAGCACAGTACAGCACAGTACAATACATCACAGCACAGTACAGTACAGCACAGCACAGTACAGCACAGTACATCACAGTTCAGTACAGTACAGCACAGTACAATACATCACAGCTCAGTACAGTACAGCACAGTACATCACAGTACAGTACATCACAGTACAGTACAGCACAGTACAGTACAGCACAGTATGTCTAAAATAGTTATCCACTAAACAGGTAGGAAGTATGAAATGTTTGCTTGCCTGATATGGTAAAAATAGGTTGTGCTGATTTCAGGCCATGATACATATACAGGCACATCCACTATACATACTGTACAGTATACAACATCTATTTTCTTTCAAGTAACAAAAGAATCCCTGACATTTACCATTTTAATGCCGGTACGCCAGAGTGGTGTGATGTGAACACTCGGCAGATGGGAATGAAGTAACCCTGAAAAATAAACTCTTATTTACAATTATTTACAGATAATAGACAAACAAATACAGTATGTCAAAATTAATTAATCAGTGTCTAGTCTAATACATTTAATTACATTAATTTTCATAAAATGAACTGTCCACCAACTTTAACACATTATATATTCTAAGAATTTTATGTGTTTTTTCTCCTCCACTATTTTTCTAAATTGTCGAATATTAACAAATACAGTAAAACCTCGATTAACGACGGTAATGTGTCCTCCAATATTGCAGTGTAAGGTGAATCATCATATTGTGAATCATTAACTACCATTAAAATAAAGCAATAATAATGAGATGCGTTTCACAGTGCGACCTTTTCATAACTTTTGTGTGGCTTTTTACCCTTTTTCCCCAAAACAATACAATTAATGAAAAAGTCAAACTATATTCTTTAAATAATGTTTATGAATGCACCTTATACAATGTAAATCAATAATGATAACATCACATAAGAGAAGGGATGCTATTGTTGTTGTCAGTGTTTACACCCAGTGTCAGTTATCCATCTGAAAATGAAGAAAATAAGACCCTGGTTGTTGCTGTAGTAAAATTAAAGTAAAAAAATATGTATGTTCTAATTAATGTGTGTCACATGTCGGCCCACACCGCTGTCTATGATTGGCTAATTAGGTGATACCCAGGAACGACCAATATCAATGAGGGTGGTTCACAGCCTGTATGCTTATATAAGTTTTCTAATGTTTTGATTTACGATGTTTTTTTTATATCAGTGTTATTTAGTTTTGGTTGTAAAAACATTATGTAAGAGCCATATTCTGTTTTATAGGGTATAAGGTGTAAAACTTTTAATGTATTGTATTAGGATTAGTTGGCAACCGAGCCATATTAGTGTGGTGGTGGTGGTGATGGTCACGGCAGAGCCACCAACTGAACCGGTCAGCACGGAGAACCAGGAACTCCAGGCCTGGTATATACACGCCGACGTGGGGTACAAGATAGCAGCCGAGTTGTGGGTGAAGTAAAGTAATTGGAGATATATGGACATGAAAACTTGCTCTGTGAATGTAAATAGTGTAACATATGTCATTTTTACACGAGAAGTGTCCATAAGCCCTTCCTCTTGGTCTGAAAGTCCCGTGACAACTGACAATGTTCAGTAAAAGTAACCATTGAAGTTAAAGAAAAATGTGTGTGATAGTGGAACGGCAATGTATACTTGCGCCCTCAAGGAAACCGCGTCATTTATCTTAGGAATATGTAAAAAAGATTCATTATTGTTTATTGCTGAATATGTATTTGATTGAATTAATGTTTATATATGCGAAATGAACAATGCAAATTATTAATAATACGTAGAATATTAAAACACACAAGAGGAGACAAGACAGCATTGTTTTCGCGAGTGTTTACAACACCAGTGACAAATGACGATGGTTCTACTTCTACATAAGAAACTGAAGAAATAAGACCCTGGTTGTTGCTGTAGTAAAACTAATGGAAAAAAATAATTAATATACAGCTACTCCTCGACTTACGACCTACGACCACCTGGACATTCGACCGCCCCAGTCGTACAAAAAATTTTTTAAATTACATATTTTCGAGTCCCGACGTTAGTGATTGTGCTGTGTACAGGCAAAATTTTCGTTTGTAATTCCATTTAAAATGGCTGGCAAGCTTAAAAGTGAGAGTTTTGTGGTGCTGAGAAGAAAATAAGACACCCATTTTAGATTTTCTATGTATTATCTTCGCATTTTCGACTTACGACCTGGATTTGGGTCCCTAACCCCGTCATAAGTCGAGGAGTGGCTGTATATGTATTAAGTAATGTTATTTAATGTTAATAAATGGAACAATAAAAGTAGCTAACCACTAATGGTAAAGAAAAAACGAAATAGATTGGGAACGCCATTGTATGTAAGTGCATATATGTAAAAACATCATTTCTCTACATAAGAACATGAAAGCAATGCTTATTACTGTTCATAAATGTTTTAAATAATACTTACTAATGCAAAAAAAAAATTCTACTGACCAATGGTGGTAAAGTCTAATACATAATGACAGCCAATAATGTTGTGCGAATTTTTACTCAGATGACGAAGTCATCAGGTTCAACTCTGGCTGAAGCTGAAGCTTTCCAGAAAGATGTCATCGCTGTTACTGAACCTGAAGTTGTTGTTGAAGTTGCTATGATGCTGAATTTGATGGTGTAGCTGTCGAAAGAACCTTGCACAGCTGCTTTCTTTTCTCATTATACATGTATGAGTTTTTCACATCCTTGTTAATTTAATGCTTTGTTCTGTTAATGGATCCACTTCAGTAAATATGTTCATTGTTTGCTCCATATAATATCCACAGACCTTTTACCCTTTTCATATCGTTTTAACACATCTAGTTTCTCATCTAAGCTTATACACTTTCTTTCAGCTTTTGAAACAACACTACCACCACTTGCTCATGTTGAGTAGGGATGGAAAAAATGCTGTAAGAAACCTGAGAATGTTTTTCTCCTTTTCCTGTTCAGATGCATGAAACAAAGGGCCCGCCAGCTGCGACTGTTTATACCAGTGGTGTTGGTGTCACCACTCACAAGCCCGGCAGCTTCCGTGCGCAAAGTGTGTTTTTATTTTTTTGGCATAATACATATTGGGATTGTTATTATTAATATGAAAATGTAATTTCATTTTATTTTTCATAATATTTTCGTCGTAAATACAAAGAAACTAACGGTGTAAATTGAATTGGGTCGTAAATTAACCTGGGTCTTAAACATGAATCGTAGTTAGTAGAACCCTTGTTATGGTAGGATTTCCTGTTTACAGTGATCCCTCGGTTAACGAGTGCCTCGGTTAACGAGATTTCGGTTGACAAATTACCTTCCATAAGAGTCTTAACTTCGGTTAACGAGCAATCCCTCGATTAACGAGCGCCCCTCCACATGTTTTCGCTTGCATTTGGCGGTCCACCAGCTGTAGTATTAGTCCGTCAATACAGTAATCGGTTCTAGGGCTTAAATTCCTTACTATTTTAGTAAATATCAAGAAGTTTGTACTATTCAATAACTTTAAAAGTTTTATATTAATTTTTGTTAGTCATTTTAACAATTATTTAACATAATTGAAGTATAGTTTTTTGCGCAGCAAACAGCCTGTCAACACACCATACAGGCGTCAGTCTCTGTGTCTTTTCAGTGGAAGTAACATCTTGCTTGAGACTCTCTTCAACTAAATGCTTTTTTTCTGTGTTTCCAAGCAAATTATTGGTCACTTTGAAATTTATTTTACATATTGACAATATATAATGCAGTGCAGTGTTGATTTAAAGAAAATAATCTTGAATTACACCATGAGTACTAAAATTTTATGAGTGAAATGGCACCATGGGGTAACTTCTCTTCCACCCCAATGCCTTCTCTTCTCCCTTCTCCTCCTCCACCCCCATTCTAATTCCCATTATCATCATCATCCAGGAGCCTTCTACTGTACATATACACCTCAAAGTAAGTGTACTTTACTACCTTTTTTGTTGATTTTAGGCAATTTTCGGCGAGCTGGAACCAATTACCCATAAACCCATTGAAACAATGGTTTCGGTTAACGAGTTTTTCGGTTAACGAGCAACCTTCTGGAACGAATTGTGCTCGTTAACCAAGGGATCACTGTACTAGAAAAAAGAAGTACTGGTAAGATAAAGTATATTTTATCACTACAGTCTCTCCTCCACTTACGACGGTGTTCCGTTCAGACGATTGGGTCGTAAGTCGATTGAGTCGTAAGTCGAACCGACGAAATTAATACATAGTACTGTACAGGTAATAAATGTAAAACTTTAACCTTTTTAACACACAAACTGAGCGGGATATGACGTGGATGCTGTACACAAGAGGCAGCGTGCCGGCCGAAGTTGTCATACGGTGTCGGTAGACATTACGACCAAAGTCTGGATTCGAAAATAATGTGAGCATGAAGTCTTTCCCTGATTACAAACATTTATTACACAAAACATATGCTAGGTACAAACGTACAGTTTTTTGCAACTTAAAATATGCATGAAAAAAATGCTATGAATTCGTCTACACAATGCTACAACATTCATGTTTCTATCTAGAATGGTCTTCGAGATATGATTTTTCATAATCAGGGAAAGACTTTATGCTCACCCTGTATAACGACAATGACCGTCATAAGTCCGGGTTGTCGTAAGTCGAGGAGAGACTGTATTTTAAGCAAATTAAACACCAGTTTTTACAGTGTTGCCTTCTAATAAGAGCCATGTACAGTCCCCAAAAACAGAAGTTAGATTTTCCATCACTACAATTTGAAATGCTTTGACATGATCCCCACTGCATCGCCATAAGTTGGTATGCCTGTTCATTATACAGTATCATTATACAGGGTTAGGATTGGGGGAGGGAGTAGTCCTAGATAGTACTTCAATACAACATGAAATCCAATAAGCTATAATATTGTATGTATTGTTCAAAAACGTATAAACTCATCGATGCTCAAAGGTCGAGGATGTAAACTACCAACCATTCAGAAACAGGTCGAGAAACCAAGCCTGTGATCACAACGACCCCAGGGTTAGATACTTCTGTGGCAGTGTGTACAGTAACTATAAAATACCACAATTACAAGTCTATAAAATACTGCACAGCAAAAATAAGGGTTAGGGTAGAACCACAACAGATAAACCAGAGTACAGTATCAAGTGTAACTTTTGATCCACTACTTAGGGCTATACAATTTTTGTTTAATACTGTATTTAAAAAGCATCATATCTATATTATATGAATAATATTCCACAAACAGATTCCCAGCAATTAGTTGAAAATTTGGACTTATTGCTTAATTACATGCAATCTCCTATTACAGTATTGATATTTTCACCAATAGGCTATGTTCTCAGCAAAGCCTGCCTGACAGCCATCAGGCAACAGTACACAGAAGAGTTCTCCACCAAAATACAGCATATCTTCCCCTTTGCTATCAACAAAAGGATAAC